CCAGGTATAGTGTGCACATGCTGATGTGGTCAAAAGTAGCTATGCAGACATGGAGCTATCCGACTGTTGCACGCTGAGGGGAGGGGAGCGATGTCGCTCGAAACGGACGATCGCGGCTTTGCATCATGATCTGATTTGGGATTGTTTCTCACCTTGCTTGGGTTGGCGGCTAAACGACCAAACCTCGAAAATTGTGTGTTTTCGACCGCAGTTTCCGTCTGCAGATGCCCATGAAGACAAAAGCGCTTGCCTCCCGAGCTCTTCCGCTGGAGCATGCTGCTGCTCGCCTGTCGCGAGGCCGGAGCACAAGTAGCCCGGAACGTTTGGGTTGGCGACATGAACATCGATGTGCCTGTCAGTGATGCACGTCGCATTGAGGTAGTCGCAAACGGCTTGCCTATGTGGCACGGCGTCCAACTCGCGATCGACGCAACGATCGTCAGCCCGGTCACCCTCCTTCTCTTCTGGCTTTGCTGAAGGCGTTCTAATTCCGGCAAGAGATAGTTCCTTCGTCACCTTCATCTTGCTGATGTGCCCGCCGCGCTCTACCTGGACAACTTCACGCTGGTGCTGCGCCTGCGCCGGGGCCTTTCGCTTGGCATATGGTCCGGCTCAAACCCTGCCTTTTGGCAGGCGGTGTCTAGGACGATCCGTCGTGATCTCATCGTTGCATGGGTGCCGTCGCATGGCAAACAAGCTAAGTGGCAAGCTCTGGAACCGCGTCACACGGCGCTTGTCCGTGCTCTTATCGCTGCTGCGGACGCTAGGTGCTCCTCCGCACTGCTGCAATTGCGGCCGGACTGGGATGCTGCTGTTGCTCGCTTTGAACAGGCTGAAGCTTGGAGTGCTCGTGCGCTTTCGGCTCAGCATGGAGTGTGCGATCGCTTTCACGAGCCCCTCCGCCAGTGCATGGGTGAATGGAAGCTCCGGCAGGGAAGTGCCTGAAGCCTGTGAGTAAGGACTTTCGATAGCTACGTTCCTGGCCCCACTGCCTTCTGACTGTGTCTTCCGCCTTAGGCGGCCCTAAGCTTCTGCCTGTGCCCTAACTGCAGCCTGGCGCTGCTCATTGTGCCCTAGACGGGTGAAGTCCAATCTGTTACACACAGCGCGGGCCACCTCTAGGACACGCTTGGTTTTCTTTGCGATTTCTTAGGAGGCTCTTTTTTGTTTAGTCTCGATGCTTGGCGGCTCGCGGATTCTCCAGTTCGTTCGTGCTGGTGATCTCCGCTACGCCGATGTGCCTGACGGCGTCTAAATGTCTAAACTACTAACCAATTAATTGGTACGGTGCAGGTTGATGTCGAGAACATGAACATGAACATGAACGAGGAGGCCGGCGGGGGAGGTGCCGTCGAGGACGAGGCCACCGCAGACGCCGCTGCTGGCGCCGACGAAGTCGCCGCCGATGACAAACTCCCGGGCGTAGCGGTCGAGGTCGTGATCTCAGGCGCCGTTCCACCTGACGATGAGGTTTTGGGGTGGTCCACCTCCACGTATTGCCCCTCTACCCACCAAGTGTGCCGGCGGGCCCTTACGGCGAGCTTGGCGAGCTCTGCAGGCGCTTTCTTGACCGGCGGCTTGGGAAGGTGATCGCCCTGTCGGGGTATGGCAGGGGAGGGGGAGGGGGGAGGGGGAGGCCAAATCATTCGTTGAGAAAAAGGGGCGGGCTTCAAAGTTGAGCTCGAGCCGTGGACGTGGTCGTAGAGAGAACGAGCGTCCGTGACAAGAGCACCCCTCGTCCGCAAATGGCTTCGCCACTCGCCTTCAACTTCGAGGCACCCATGAAATTAAAACATGGCATCAGGCAGCTTCATGTTGTACAGCAATCTGTCACTTGCAGAGGCCATGCTTGCACACTCGGCTGCCATACTTGAACGAACCACCCTCGTGATCTTGTTTGGAACTCGATCAGGTTGGCAACTGCCGGTCCTGCAAACATGTTGGGATGCCCCACGAAGTGAGCTTCACCTCGCTGCGCCACGCCGTCAGACTTGCCCAGGGAGGCGTCAAAGTAGGTCACGAGAGCGGGGTGGTTGCCAACGCCCGCAACTTGAAGCTTGGCTTGCCCTTGCGAAGCAGCAGCCCTCATTTCTCGCAAGACTTCATTTGCCTCCTCTAAGTCACGTCCACAAGCCTTTCCCACTCGCTGGGCCAGGGAGCTCACATCGTGGAGGAACTCGGGCAGAACGAGGTGAAGCCACCAACCTTTTAAACTCCTTGAGCTGCGCGGTGTCCAGGGAGGCGTCAAGGTTTGTTGCCTTCCCGGCTGGGTGAATTGCCAGCACATAGTCCGTCATGTCGTTGGTGAAGACGCGGTCGACGTAAGTCAGCTGGAGCCCCAGGTAGGACCGGGGAATGTTCCCTGACCGACTCCCACATCTTGATGTTGAACCTCTTGTCAATCGCTGCCTTGAGGCTGCCCGAAACGGCAGCCCACCAGGAGGCCATCATCAACGTGAAGACAGAGAACGGAGAGCACGGTCCACCCTTTATCGTTGTTCTTCTTGCGGTACACGAAGGTGGACGGGGCAAAAGGAATCTCCTCGAAACCAATCTCCCTCAAGAGCTCTTTCGCAATCTCGGGGCTTCCGCCGAGCCGTAGGCAGAGCGCAAGAGTTGCCAGAGCTCACCAGGTTGGAGATCACCCGGTGGTCGTACAAATAGATCTCGTCCCACATGCTTGCCAGAGAGAAAGGCGGTGGACACGTCGAACAGCCATGCCTGCCACAGTCGGCTGGCACACAGAGTCAGTGCTAACCTCAGCGCCGTGGACGTATAGTAGTCGGCGAGTCTGTCCTCAAAGCTCCCAAGTCTGGATCCACATGCCCTGGGATGACAAGGCGACTTTTCGCATTCAGCTTCGAGTCGCCCGGCTTGGACTTGTTCACACGAACGAACCTTGCAGGTACACGGAAAACTCGAGCACGAGGAACCTATAGCGGCTTCTTGGGGAGAAAGTCTGCGCACAACGGCACGACGTCATTCTCCATCTACGCGGCCAACTCCTTCAGGTCACTCTCACGGAAGGCGTTGCGCTCGTCTGCGTCGAAGTGCTTCGGGTCCAATTCCTTTCCATTCGCCTTCATCTTGAACAAGAAAACTTCAAGAGCCATGGTGGCCGCATCAAGGTCCCGGCCTGCGGCCTCCACGACATCATTAGAATCATTAGAACAGACGTCCACTGCAAAAACCTGGGAGCGCACCTTGAAGTAGGCGGTCACCGGCTTGGTGGTGAAAACCTTGGCACCGTCCGACACAAAAACCTTCTCCTTCTTCACTTCCGGAAAGAGGGTCAAGCCGCGCCGCAACGCAGAAGTCTTTCGACGGGGCCGCCGGGCAACGGCTTTAGCGGCTTCCTGTGCTACCACCGTGTGATCCAGCAGTTGAGGAACTTCCTGCCCACATGGTCGGAGTTCCTGTTCCTAAGCAATCGAGCCACATGAAAACGAGTTGCCCCATGCACCACCGACAAAGCCACAAACGTTTCCGTCTTGGTGTCCTTCACATACTTCAGGTCCAGATGAATCACCGAATTGAAGCACACAGGCCTGGCCTCTGGTCTCGTCGGCATCGGTCTTTTCGGGGTGCTCTCCAGCGACATGTGGGGCAATCCAACCTATCTGCCATCTCGAGGAGCTCCTTGTTCGCTCCAGCCATCTCCAGCATTTGGCGCAAAGGCAAAGTCTCATTATTCGGATGATGCACCAAGTGAAGACGCTCAAGGAGAGAACCAGGTGCTACACTAGTCTCTTCTTCATGGACCCCCTCGTCGCACTCCGCGTTTTGATTCTCCAGCGGGTTCTCCAACTATCGGCCCCGACTCAATCTGTTCGACCCCCTCGTCGCACTCCGCGTCCTGATTTTCCAGGAGGTTCTCTGCAATCGGCTCGTTCTCGGCTTCAGGTAACTGTGGCGCCTCATCCAAGAACTCGGCGTCATCCTCGACAAAGATTTCTTCGGCAAGCAAAGGCACTGGTCGCAACTTAAAATACACTCGCTTCTTGCCCTTGAGATAGGCCTCTGCTCCCTTGGACCACAGCCTCGGAAAAAGCTGGGGTGTAGCCGCCAGCGAAGCCAGCCACACTGACCCATCGGTGCCCGTACTCCCCCAAAACAAGGTGCATGTCGATGGGTGCCGGGACAGCGTCGGCAGGTCGCCTGTAAAATTGAGGGGTGTGCGCGGAGCAGAGTGGGCTTGCGCAGGTAGAGCGGGGCGGTGGCAACGTCCGCGTCTGGCCTCTAAACCCCCAAGCGCACATGTCCACCACACCGGCCGGGAGGCCCGCGTAAGTTTGCTGCACAACGTCTTCTCGCCACGCGAGGCTGGTGCGAGGGTTCTCGGCCATAACCGCACCACCTCGCGCACGATGCTTCCAAACAGCGATCTTGACCCATTCCAGCATAGCGCGCTGTTCTTCTCGGCTCTGGGAGAAGCGGTCACGCTGTTCCGTTGTACATTGTGCGAGCGTTCCAGCTTTGCAAGGTAGACCGTGCCGTGCAGGGGAAGGCCACCACCAGGAGGTCCGGCTGGAAAGCGTCCAGGTACTGCAACCGCGCTGCTGATCATCATTGTCCATGTGAACATCTCCACCGCACGCCATGGCCCAGGTCGTCGCTGGCCACGGCTCGGCGACAGAACTCGACCAGGGGAAGCAGTAGAAGCACTCGTTGTTGTGGTCGTGGCCAGGTCCTTGACGGCTCGCTGTGTTTGCACCATCTTTTTTGCGCATGTTCTTGTGGAAGTAAACGAGCTTGCGGGCAGCTCCTCTGCACTGTCCTCACTCAGCTCGCTGTCACTCTGAATCACACCAAACTCGTGGCTCGTGATGCTGTCGTCGCCGCTGTCCGAGAGGAGCTCCTCGGCATCGGGGAGCGCGGCGATGGTCTTGATGCCCAAGTCACTTTCCAAGAGCTCCAGCCACTTTCGGTCCCGGGCCCTTTGCTCCTCCTCATAGTCGGCCGCATGCCTGTAGTGCGAAGGCTCGGCCTCGTTGTCATCCTCAGTACGTGTCGGTGCCCTGCCCACCAACCAAAGGCGTAGAGGTCTCGTCTGGGTCTTGTGTCGACAAAAAGGCAAAGGAGTGAGGAGCATCTTTCAGGATTTTCTTGGTCCGGAGCACCGTTGGATTCTCCCACAGGTTCCTGTCAGGGAACTCAAGGAGATCAATGGCCGGACGCCGCGTGGTGGTCATCAACATTGGCCGGCTGCAACCCTTCAAAGTCAAGGTCTTCCCAGCGAGATCAAACACCGCTCCCCAACGCGAGAGCTCAGAGGGGCCAATGAGTCCTGGACAGGAGGATGCTCCACCACCGACCATGGACATGCGCACCAGTTCCCAGTTACCCCCAAATTGGAACACCTCATTCTCGACCACCTCGAAAAACCGAACCCTCCTCTTGCGAAGCTCTGCTTGGAAACTAAGGTGCCAGTCAGTGCCTGCCACCGCCGTGCGACAGCCAGAATCTGCCGCCGGCAAACTCGCCACCAAGATGTCCTTCGGCTCGGGATTGGCCACCAGAACACCGTGTCTCTGGCTCCAATAGAGAACATTCTTCAAGTCACAAGCCTCACATCTTGCATAGTGGCCATGCTGGTTGCTGGTCCAGAGGAGATCTGCAAAAAGGTGGCGGCACCGGGCTTGTTTGGTTGTTGGCACCGATGCAGCTGAAAAAGGAACGCACCGACCACCATCACACGCCCTCCTGTAAAGTTCCATCTTGAACTCTTCCATCTCGCGCTTCTTGACCGTGGTGGGTTTATCGCGTCCTTCTTCATCCCTCCGGCTCGGCACCAGCAAAGGCTTGGGAGCAACAGGTTGTTGCTGGGGATCCGGATGTCGAACATGATCCTTGCTGCTTGCTGCTCTGTTCCAAGTCGTGGGGAAGTCCGGCTCTGGCATTGGGATCGGCACATTAAGCTCATCATGGGCCAGGGCATACTTCAACGACTTCTTCTCCTCCTTGCTCATCTTGTCCACAGCAGCCAGCGCCTCACGAGCACTGACCAAAACCTTCTTTTCGGCCTCCTTCTTTGCTCCCAGGGCGCCCTTGGACACCTCGTAGCGTCGTTCATCGTGCATGGGTCGAGGAACAGGAGGGGGAAAAGCCGAATCACCATCGCCCTCTTCATCCACCAAAATCCATTGGCCACGCTTACACACCAACTGCTGCCCACACTCTCCACAGAACTTCGGGCGTCCTTGGAGCACTCGAAAACACTGTTCCGCAGCAGGGTAAGCGCCCTCCATCCAAGTGAAGTTGACAAAGTGACTGTGCAGCGGTCTTCTTGTGATGCGGCTGGTCCTTGCCATTCCGGACGTTTTCACATTCTGGGTCACCACGCCAATGCCCTCTCTTGCCGCAAGATGCACACTTTTTGTCAAGCAAACTCTTCGATGGGGAACTCGAGGGTGTCCTAGTCGAAGGCGCCGACCAGCCACGGTCCTTCTTCTGCTCGGCTCTCCATCCAGCCGCAAAAGCTTCCTTGATGACATCTTCCCCACAGAGGCCATCGTCGCTGTGGGGCTCCTCCTCGTCCTGGGCTTTCTCAGCACCATCCGGGATCTCATCGTCATCCTCGAAGTGGAGCTCGGCATCAATCTCCTCCTCCTCGAGGTCTTCCTCGTCCTCGCCTGGCTTCCTTCCACCAAGGCCTCGGCCACATGTGCATGATTCCGCTTCTTGCCGGCTCCCTTGCTAGATCTAGAAAGAGAGCTTGAACCGCTGGACGAAAGCTTGCTCCGGAAGCTGGCCACCGTCGAGGCACCATCTGACCTTAGACCAGGAACTCGCCGCTCTTCTTCATGAACCTGACTGCAGCGGTGCCTCAAAGCAGCTTCAATGGAACTTGTATCGTAGCGTCCTCCGGCATAATAAAAGACATCCAGACGCTCCCGCCTCGATAAACCGGCTCTGTTCAAAAGGCGTTGCGACCACGCCTTGTTGCTCAAATGGAACTCGGGGTCCGATCTCATGTACTGTGCCAAGAGCCGCTTCATATTGGCAATGTACGAGGCAATCGATTGTCCTGGGGTGCGCCGGCATCCATTGAACTCTTTCTCTGCTCTCTCAAACATCTCGGCGCCATTCTCTCCGAAGGCCTCCTGCAAGAGCGTCCACATCACATGGACGCCTCCATCCGACGTGAATTCTTCCAGCGTCCTTCGATCAAGGACATCTCGTGCATCGCCGAGTGTGGAAAAGATATACCAGCATAGCCACCTCACTCTCCTCTGGCTTGCAGAGACGTTCTTGTGCTTCAACAGTCCTGCGCCACTTCAGGTACTTGCGCTTATCGCCCCCAAAAAAATTCCTCCAGCCGCACCGTAGAGGTAGAAGATTTGGGACGACCTTCAGCTTCTTGCGCAATCTGCTCCGAAGTTCCGAGGTAAGCCAAGAGGAGGACACATCGGAAGGCAGCTCCTCACTTGGGAAGTTCGGCCGAAGCCCTTCCATGAATTCTCCGCCGCGCCTCACGCTGCTTGCGTCGGGCTTGTTGTCCTTCTCTACCTTGAGGTAGAGGCGTCACGACCACCCCAGGAGCACCGGTATCAGGATCTCCTTGCTCAGGTGGTGGTGCTGACGCCGTCGACCGCCTTGTAGAGCTCACTCCACCTACGCTAGCCTTCGAAGGAGGGGAAGGTGAAGAAGGCTTCTCCCAGGAGCGGTCCCCCGATGAAGCCAATTCCTTCTCCATTCTCTGTGCAGCCATCGGAGCTGCCGGTGTCGGCTGCGCAGTCAAAGGGGGAGGCATACCATACCAAGGCCAGGGCCAGCCGCCATTAGCCCACCACGGAAGTTGCCCAGGGACTTGTCCAGGCAGTGAGGGGGTACAGGATAAGGCCAAGGATTTGCAGCAGGCCACCCGCCAGGAAGAAGAGGTGGAGCAGCAAAAGAAGTCCCAGTCATCGGTCCCATGTTGGGACCCAGTGTCGGCCATCCCGGTGGCATCGTTCCGAACATCGTTCCGAGGCCCGGTGCTGGGCCTGCTCCATCAGTCGCCGAAGTCGCCGGCAAAGCGGCTGCCCCTTCGCCTCCAGCTGCGGTTGCCGAGGTCGCCGGTAAAGTGGCCGCCCCTTCGCCTCCAGCTGCTGTTGCCGAGGTCGCCGGTAAAGTGGCCGCCCCTTCGCCTCCAGCTTCGGTTGCCGAAGTCGCCGGCAAAGTGGCCGCCGCTTGAGCTTTCTGTTCCTCAAGAGCTTCCGCCCAAGGATCCGACTCCTCCAAATGGAGCACAAAGGCAGGCAAGCAAACACCTATCCTAAGCACCCACCTCAGGCTCCGCTACCAATATGGATTCCCCTCACAATAGCAACCACAAGGGAACCATTAAGAAACCAAGCAAAAGCAAGCACGCAAAAGCAAGGGCTGTTTAGCGTCGCGTAAAAGCTGAGCATCGATGCTTCGGTTCGGTATGCGTTCTCATGCCTAAAGCATGGAGAGAAAAGCTGACATGAAGTTTGCCACGCATTGGCATTGAGGCTCGCATTGGTACAAGGATCTGCCTCTGCCTGACAATCGCCACCCGCCCATGCTTTATGGAAGCTGCGAGATGATTTATGCAAGCGACATCCCTGAGCTTCTTTCTGCCTGGAGAAAATGTTGAAACGGGCAGAGGAAATACGCGCCTGCTGAAAGATGCGCTCATGAGACAAACAACCGCATGCTTCGAAATGCTTGGTGACACATACATGCATGTGCATCTGGAGGTCTGTTTTCCACTGGCATCGGTCGAGCCTCGCTGCCGCCATGGCATGGCTACAGTCTCCCCAGAGTCTACAAACCAGGCAGAGAACGAGGCAAAGCATCGAAGAAACTTGTGAAGGGGAACGGGAAACAAGGAGGCAGCCGGCGCGAGATGCCAATCATCATAGCGAGAAGCACCACAGAGTTTCACATGGGAACATCGTGTTCACTTGTTGGAATAGATTCTCAAAGACGTATCCATGGACACGCTGGCCAGTGTCTTTGCATTCGGACCTCAGCCCAGCAAAAGCTGCAAAGGCTCACCGCCGATCGCGCTGGCGGCCGCACCCCAGCATAGACCAGTCACACTGTCTGTGTGCTCCTGCACAGGCATGTCATGTTAGTGTAAGACGCGAGTCTACGAAAAGTGCTCGTATGCGCTATCTTCTCCGTTGGCACATGTTCTGTTGACTAGCAAGTGGGACTTCTCGTTAAAGCAGTTTACCTGGCAGTTGGCCTCGGACCTCTTGGCCTGTGACGCAGCCAACTCTGATGTCCTTGAAAACAGCAGCTTCTGTCAACGTCGTCTTGGTTGCGAAATTGAATACCTCGTAAACAGCACTTGCGAGTGGCGCAGCTTACTGGGCCACACCAGACTCTGTCCACCTGCACGGCCTTGCTTCCCACAGCCAAGTACTGCCTCAGCAAAGTAATCGGCATTGCTTGAGTAGTCTGCTCTCTCGCTGAAGGCTTCTGGGCACCGTGCCCTGTGCTGTCAAACGCAACAGCATGAACGGGACCGTCTACCTGTATGCTCGGTGAAAACGAGGCTGGGTCACAATGTGTCACGTCAGCTGGTCTTGGGTCGGCAATCCTTGAGGGTCTGGATATTCAGCGGTTTTCTCAGGTCCCAAAGCCTGCAAGACAGACCACGCTTACTGTGCTGACCCGCCGACAATGAGTGCCAAGAGCCGCACTTGACAACACCATCATCTGAACCCGATGCCAAGTAGTAGCCGTTGCCAGAGAAGGACAAAGTCTGCAAACAGAAAACGGAAGCAGTTAACCAGTGTCTAGCTCTGACAGGCATGATCCAAGCAGCCTGCACTGTGCCCTCATGGCCGGTGAGGCTGGTGACGGTCGCCTCGCAACAAGGTTTTGCGCCTCGATGCGATGTGCTTGCATGCGGCCTGGGCCTGGCCTGCTCCTTAACATCCCAGACAACAACCGTCTTGTCCTGGTGACAGCTGGGGCAGGATTCCTAACAGTTGTCTGGATTTGCTCACTATGAAGATGTCGCGGCGAATGATCAGGTTCATAGTAGGAAGAGGAACTCGAGTCAAGCAGGCAAGCGCCTTTGTGCCGCCGGCAATAATCAGCCCATCTGGATGAAAGCTCATGCAAGGGTACACGGAGTCCAAATCCTGGGGTGCAAAGCAAAACTGGTCTATCCAACATGATGCGATGCAGTCGGTGTTGGTGCAGTGCGCTTGCAGAATGGATGACGGCTGCCTGCATGTGTCGTATGCAGCGGCCGCTGTGAAAGTCGTGAATTGCCCAGGACTTGTCCAAGGAGGCCGTGAGGAAGTAACTCAGTGATGCGGTGCAGGATCGGGCATGCTGCCATGCGCAAGAGGTGAGGCTGGTGCTCTCCCAGTGGATGAATGGAAAGGTCTGTCACTTCTGCACTGTGCTTTCGGATCGTGTGCAGGCAGTTGTACCTGGAGAGACTCCGAAGATACTGCCACGGTAGATTTGGCTTTGCACAGCGCACTGGCTTGACCAGTCTGTCGTGCGGCTGCAAGTCCAGATTTTTACCGTCGCATCCTGCGACGCAGAAGCCACGACATCCTTGTCCGGATGCAGCTTGACAGCGGTGACCTGCAGCAAGTTTGGACTGGATCTCGTGAGAAGCTCGTCCTCCACTTGACCAAAGCTGGCATTGGGCTGACAAGTTGGGGCACCCTCTTGGAGTGGCCAGCCATCTTCTGCACCGGCTTGCCTTTTTGTGCATCGAAAAGAATCACCTGTCGTGGCGGCCGCATGGGAGCACAGCTTAGCAAGGTAAGCTTCAAGTATCAGGATGTCATGAAGCAAGGTAGAATCCATCGCCTGGCTGTCGACGCCACCAGTCGCAATCCTGTGGGGATGAACCTCTCAAGTGGGAAGTATGGAGAGCTGAGAATGGGTCATGCAACTAGAAAAGTAGACTTGGCCTTGTGCACGTCGACAGAGAGAACACCAGGTGCAGTGGAGTGGTGGATATTGGGAAACGACGCTTTGCATTCCAACCTGGGGTCAGGCTCACCGCCACAACAAGGAACAGGAACCTTCTCGGGCCTTTTGACCTCTTCGAGCGGGTTGAGGTCAGGGAAGCTTCGCCTCAGTGGAAAGTCATTAATGGTAGCTGTATTCGAAGCTGCTCATCTCCAGCAAACACACAAAGAGTCGCTTGAGATCACTTACAAGATAACCTGGCTGCGGATGCTTTGCGACCTGCTTGCAGCAATCCTCAGCCCGACCTCCCTCGCTCCTGCCTGGTCCCTTCTCGCAGTCCGTGGTGCTGACACTGATGTCACGACAACACGACCGACGATAAATCTCCCATCAATGTTGACACGACGTCCAATGAAGGCTTCACTCTGCATGCATCGTGGTGAAAGGTCCAAGGTTGAGTGGGATGTAGGAACGTTGCACAAGCCAATACTGCATGTACTGAAGCGACTTCAACTGCCATTCACGTCCCTTGCCATCGGCATTGACAGCCGACATCAGCCGACTTCAGCTGTGACGAAGATGGTTGTTCTGAGATCTGGTCTAGCTTTGGAGAGTCTTCTTGTGCAGCTCTTGAAGCCTCAGGCTTTAAAGTCTGGGTGCAGCACTGCTTGCGACTCTTCGCCAGAGTTTTTGCAAGCTCCTGTGGCAATCACGACTGCTCTGCGCTTCATCGCCCTCTGTCTTGCTGCACCGAACTCATGTAAATCTGCTGCCACTGCACACGTTCATGTCACTTTGTTGCGCTGCAATCGGGAGCCCCTTCAGTGCTCCCTTGCACGCAGCCCACCTGTCTTCCACTCGTCACGACAGTCCCCACACCAATCAATCTGAACAGGGTGGTTAATGACTGCGACTGCAGGCTTACAGCACTTCTCAAGAAGGCAACCCTGCTGTCAGGCAATGGCGATGTTCTCTCGGTTGTAAGTAATAAGTACTGGATGTTTGCTACCGCCATGGGTGAGCAATGTGCCGAACTTCGGGTGCCCATAGTTCGGGGTTCTAGTTTCGGATCGGGGGCCGGGGGTTTCGGATCACAGGATGGTAGTTTCGGCGCAGCGGGAATCAGTTTCGGGATGCGGGTCTTGCCCACGGCGTGAGACCGAAACTCATGTCCTGACCCGAAACTCTCTCGGACCATGCTCCGAAACTCCACCGAAAACCCTGAAACTCACAACTTCCGCCGAACTTCTCCTCCATCTTGCTGAGGATCTGAGGGGTGCGGCCAGTCTCGGCCTGCAAAGTTATGAGTGCAGTTCACATTGCATTATGATGCAACAATGGAATCCATTTCGGGCGAGTCCTCGGCAGACCCCGCAGGTGCATTCGCAGGTGTTGAGTTGCTGAGCTGATCCTGCAGCTGCGCTACCTGGCAACTCTTTTCGGTTCGAATGCCCTGCCAGCACGGAGAATGCAATTCGTGGAATCACGTTTCTCAAGCCTGGGTTCGTGCTGCATCTCGCTCCCGTAGCAGTCGAGCGATTACGCGACAAGCTGCATCATGTTGATAAAGTGCATGAGAGAGTTGCTTGCGAGTAGTGTCAAGATTCCTTGGCGACATAGCAGTCGAAGCTACGGGTATATGGTTCAGTTTGCTCACTGAGATGCGGTCGTCTTCATCTCATACGTTTCGGACATGAGGGCATCCCATTCACTCTGTAAGAGTGTCCTCAGCATGGTGCATGGTGAACTCGTCTTGCAGCAGGCTTTGCGTGCAGCAAGCACGCTTGGAATAAATACCGTGCTATGATGAGCGGCTACGCACAGTGAATGTTTCTTCGAATCACCTTCAGTAATCTTGATTACCCTCGCCAGTTACTGCATGCTAGTTACTGCCCGACCAACGGCTCTCATTGCAAGTGCCCTAACTAAGGCAAGTGCAGCATGCCAGGAATGGATGTGGCTGCAGCTGGCCGAGGCTTGACTACCTTGTTCACCTTCATCTCACAAAGGTCTTCCTCCGGCGCGAATCCGAATCATCCAACTCATTCTCAAAAGGGAGACAACCCTGGCATCTGGCCTGTCTTAGCTCCTCTTGTGTCACAGGACATCGTCCAGTCTCCTGCACCTGCTTCTCGATGAGCCGCCGCTCGTAGACCTGCCTTTTCAAGTCGGCAAGTACGACGGGTCTCAGGCTGCGGCGATGGTTAACGGAGCAACAGCCACAACGTCGAACCTAGTCTTTGGAGAGTATACAGGCTGCTCTGGTGCAGTACCGGAAATTGCACAGACCTTCAGCAGCATCCGAGAATGCAAGGTGTAGGTGCCGAGCATTGACTATGATTGGCTACTGCACTCTACTTGAGTTACCAGCAATTGTGGACATCGAGTGATTCCACAAACCTGCAGCCAATCGCATGCAAATAAGTGTCCCTCTGCCTCAAGCTATGACCCTCGAGTGCCTCCCTGGCTGCAAAGCCTCAGGAACGCTATCTGCTGCTGGCCACGACGCTGTAGTCGTCCGTGCAAAAAGCCAGGTCCCCAGCCGTGTACACGGCCGGCCGAACGCCGAATGCAAGGGCCGGAGGGAATAGTTTAGCTAGAAAGTCTACGCCTGGTCCTACACCTGTCTTTCGTCAAAACTTGTCCATGCTGCGGGACGATGGATAACCCTTCCTGTACAAGTCTGGCCTTGCTGGTCATCTCCACCTCTTTTTGTCAGGCGTAGGAAAATCAGTCACGATGCGATTTAGGCTTCAGATGGCTTCGGCTTCCCCATCGTCCCGGGCGTTTGCAAGGTTGGCTGCTGTTTCATCCTCGTGTGCCAGCCCTGTTATCAAACGTTCTCAGG